AGAGAGAGAGAGAGAGAGAGAGAGAGAGAGAGAGAGAGAGAGAGAGAGAGAAAAGAAAGAGAGAAAGAGAGAGAGAGAGAGAGAGAAAAACAGCAGTTGTACAAATTTATATTTATGCCTACATGAGTTTCTCTGTATTGATTGACTTGTGCATACACATGTGTATGTATGTGTATTTGCGTGTGTAAATGTGTATGTCTGTGAACATGTGTGCATGTTTGTGTGTCCGTTCATGCGTGCACGTATGCATGCACGTGTGTGTGTGAATACACTCACCAGTTATGAACTAGAAGAGCTAGACTGACCGCCAGGAATGGCATCAGGTATGCGTGTGTGCATGTGTGTGTGTGTAGTTGTGTGTGTGTATGTGTGTGTGAATGTGTGTGTATATGTGTGTGTATGTGTGTGTGTATGCATGTGCATATGTGTGTGTGTGTGTGTGTGTGTGTGTGTGTGTGTGTGTAAACACTCACCAGTTATGAACCAGCAGAGCTAGACTGACAGTCAGGAACGGCATCATGTATGTGTGTGTAAGTGAGAGTGTATGTGTGTGTGTGTGTGTTCGTGAGTGTATGTGTGTGTGTAAACACTCACCAGTTATGAACCAGCAGAGCTAGACTGACAGCCAGGAACGGCATCATGTATGTGTGTGTTAGTGTGTGTGTATGTGTGTGTGTATGTGTGTGTATGTGTGAGTGCAAACACTCACCAGTTATGAACCAGCAGAGCTAGACTGACCGCCAGGAACGGCATCATGAAGTAGATGGAGAACACGTGGCCCAGACGGTGCTCACCTGCCCACAAGAACGGAGGTCAAGGTCACTCATCGGCAGTCATTATATCTCTCTCCCATACATCGAAACATCCTTGACCCACTAAAATAGGACATCCCACTATTAATCTAGGTCCCTACCAACTTGAGTCATTTGCGTACATGAACTTTAACACTTTGCAGTCACACAGCCAGCACTACAAAACACCCCATCTGGTAGGGTTGGATCTTGCTCACTAAATTTGAGAGTGGCGATTCGCGATTCAAAGAATTGCGAGTACACGAGCGCTCGTGGAACTGCGGCAGAACACTGACTGAAACGGAACAGTGTCATATCAATGCCACTTGGCGAGCACGAGTCCCACTCTTGATGTTCCGCCATCCTCTCCGCCCCACACCCTTTGTTGCGCTGCTCTATCTACTGACCTCAATTAGTGACCCCCATAAATTCACACCCCCCCCCCCCAACCCCATGATTCGCTAAAACAATGGCTCCATAAAATTCCTTCTGTCTATTGGTTGGACCCCGTTCATTTTGTTTTAATAGGGGATTGGGCTATACCATCTTTTGTAAAATAAAGGGAGCCATACTAAGTGTTCCGTTCCGTTCTTGCGCTCGTGATTCGACTCAGCAGTAGGTTAAACAAGCCACAAGGTGGTGACAGCGACAGGGGAGTGAATCGGGAATCAGAAGGCGATACTGTTCCGTGTTCCGCTGAAGTGAGTCGCGAATCGCGTTCCACAGGCAAGAATGGCGATTCAGTTCCGTTCTCGCGCTCGCGACCCAGCATTACCATCTGGTCACCCAGTCAGGGGAGTGATTGCAACGAATTTCTCGGGCCTTATAGGCAACCGGAACGGATAATTTTCACTGGTGCATTATTGCACCAAGTGACTGCAAAGTGTTATCTCTTTATCTCCGGCAAGCCGCTCCCAGCAGTTCACAGTTCGGCAGTGGTCTCGGGCACATTCCTTTACGACGACTTCGATGTCAAACTAGTTTTTGGTTATTTCAGAAAACAGGTCTCTTTTACCGGGAGTTCATTCATTAGATCAAGAACTATCAAAATAGGTTCACCTGTTTTGATTTAATGACCAATTTAGTGATGTACATATGCACTTTTAGATTTCGTACCAAAAGAGGGCCCTGGCATTGTGGATTTACCCCCCTAGGAGATAAAGAGCTAAGGGGCAACGTTAACTCATGGTTCAATTGTGAATTTTTCACACTCTCACCCACACAATTTTAATACTAATGGACAGCATTTGCATAGCACTTTTGTTTAACAAGTACAGAAATAACTGAACATTGTGTTCTATTAAAAATAGTAGAAAAACCAACCACAAATAAAATAAATGAACAAACAAATGAGTAAATAAATAAACACAGTATGTAAATAAAACACATTCCCCTGTACAAAAGACTACTTCTCTTCACTCTTCCTTGTGCTTTTTACATTATAATGGCGCGGTGTAAGACATCCACCTATCTTACGCGGCCAATGAACTCCTTGAAATTGATGACCGTCTAAGACAAATTAGACTGAACCTCGTTGTTAAGTGTCTTAACAGAAGCTGAACCTGGATGTTCAACTTTGCAGGTGTATATAAAACTGACAGTGTTTCAAGGCAAACGATTATAAATGCTTTGCCATCCAAATTCCCTTATGATTTATCACTAAGATTAAACTTACACAATTAGTGAAATAGAAAGAAAAAAAGATTTTAAAAAACAAAAAACCGGAGAGACTGACATTCAGGCAAAAGGAAAGGAAAAAAAAAAAAGAAACAGAAAGAGAAAGAGAGAGAGGAGAGGGGGGAGAGAGAGGAGTGGGAGGGGGGGGGGGAGAGAGAGAGAGAGAGAGAGAGAGAGGCAGAGGGAGAAAAAGATAAAGAGAAAAAAAGAGAGAGAGAAAGAGAAAAAGAAAGAAAGACAAAAGAAGCTGAGTGGCAATGTGCACCGACTGACCCTGCATCTCCAGGAAGTTGAAGACCAGCACGGAGACGGCGATGACACACGACTGACCCACTTCCAGGCCGTTGACCCCCGAGTGGATGTTGATGGCGTTGGTGCAGAACACAGCCAGCATACCCATGTACAGGTAGTACAGAGGCCCTGGGGGCGGAGGGGGAAGGCGAGAATTTTTTGTTATATTTTTTATTAATATTTTGTTTTTGTTTTTTGGGATGGCAGTGGATTCGTGAGTGTGTGTGTGTGTGGGGGGGGAGATCAGAGATTCTTGGTTTATTTCAACGATATACTGATGACGGTGTTATAAAAGTTACCCCGCAATACCTTTATAGAGAGTGTGCAGCGGCCAATCGGTTAGTGCGCTCGTCTCTGAAGCAGAAAGTCCGGGTTTGAGCCTCGGTTTGGACACAGAATGTTTTCGCCACCTCCTGCCCACCCAACAGTAACGGGTACCTGACTTCCAGTCGGGGAAGTAATGACGGCCTGGAAATGAACAGGCCACCCTACCACAATATGCCAAAGGCCCAGGAAGTTGTCTCACTAACAAGGCAATCCCCAATGTCCGGATCGGATGAAGGAACAACTTTACTTTTTACCTTTATACAGACCGGTTTTTGTTTTATATATCGCTTCAATGACACACTGATCGTGTCATAAAAGTTACCCCATAGTACTTTGTCTTTCATACTTAAGGGTAACATACATATTCTTGCAATGCTATAACAAAGTGAAGCCAGAGGGCTCGTGGCTCGTAAATACCAGGTGAAACTAGTACACTGGACGCCACCACCCAGGACGGCATCTTGAGGGACAGGGAACCTTAGAGTGGGGCGTATTTATAATACCTTGCTGCCTCAAAATCAGTTAAGTCCCTGATTTGTAAGATCACGAAGACCGATATGAGGAGCGTCTCTTACGCGTTAATTGTAAACGCATGAGAGTGCAAAACCATTTGGAGCGTTCAAAGCCCATAAGTTCTTGGGAACAGGGGAAAAAAGATACCACCATCCAGAAGGTACCTATTGAAGTCTGAATGATCAAAGTGAGATCATTACGACGCTCAGGCCTTATATACCGAGGGTCCGAAGGTAGAGGACAGTTAGTTAGTTAGTTTTAGATCAGAGCAGAGTAGCGTAGACTAGAGACGAGACCAGACTAGAGTACGCAGAGGACATAGAGGTAGGAGCTAGACCAGGTTAGGCGACGGGTAGCGACGATATTCTTGTACACTGCTAGATAGTCGTCTGTTCGACAAATGTTATAACCAGTGTTTCAGGAAATAGTAGTTACCCTTCTGTAGATCAAAGGTCCTCGAAGCTAGTAGCATGTTTTGTAAACGTCACACATTTCATTGTTGTTGATGATTAAATATTTCAAAAATATTACAGCGTGAAGTTTTCTTGTCATCTTTGACATAGCCTATGCGATCACGTGTCAGAGTGGTGTAACCAGTATAACAACACCTTTTTTTAATACTGTGTTACAATGCACCTGAGGCCAAAAAAGAAAACTGTCAATCTTGATCTTGACTCAGTTTGACTCGAAGTCACTTCCTTTGCTATTTTTCTTCATGAAAAACTTCATTCAAGCCTCTGAAATTCAATTAGCTTATAGATATTTAATGTTTTTGACACTTGAACTGAAACATGGTAATATAATACTAGAGAGAAATTGTCTAACCTTTTTAATAAAGTTTCTCATTGTTTGTTCGACATGTTTCAACCAATCAGCATCTTTTCTACAAGGCAAAGTGGCAATGAGTGACTACAAAGGCTATGTGCTCAGAGGGTGTAAAAGTTAGACAGTTGCACATGACACTGTTATATACATTGGGAGGTTGGGATGGGTTAGGGTGACAAAAGGTTGTTGGTTTTTTTTAATGTTTATTTTTCAGGATTTTTTAGCAGGGGTTTTTTTTTTGGGGGGGGGGGGTGTTTTTTAATCAAAACCAGGGGAGTTACAATCGTATTTGTTCAAAATTGGGAGCATGATTCCACTGAGCAATTGACCTTAGAAAGTCTCAAAAAGAACACATCACACCTTTATTGATAAAGCTACAGCGGCTACCAGTTAAATCTAGAGTTGATGACAAAATTGCTCTTTTACGACACAAGTGCATGAACAACAAAGCACCGCAATATCTTACAGACCTCACTGAGTCATACATACCATCAAGACATTTGAGATCTGCAGATGAGAATCTCATGAGAGAGCTCACTGAAAAGTCTTACAGAAAAGTGAGTGGAAGAGCTTTTTCTTATCATGCCCCTAAAATTTGGAATTCCCTCCTATTTTATACCATCAAAGAGTTTAAGAAACATCTGAAGACACATTTGTTCAACAATATCTTCTGACAGTAGTTGTGTATGTGTGTGTGTGTGTGTGTGTGTGTGTGTGTGTGTGTGTGTGTGTGTGTGTGTGTGTGTGTGTGTGTGTGTGTGTGTGTGTGTGTGAGAGAGAGAGAGAGAGAGAGAGAGAGAGAGAGAGAGAGAGAGAGAGAGAGAGAGCGCGCAGATGTGTGTGAATGAAGGTGGGTGTAGGTGTGTGCTGTTTAATGGTCTTGGTCTCACAATGTGAATTTTCTGTGAATTTTCTATCTTTTGATTTGTCAGTTAAGTTGAGTGCCAATTAAAGCCTTTTAGGGACTAGCCACTATAAATTCCCTTCACTATTATTATCATCATTATCATTATCAAATTCGTAATGATGGGCAGCCTTGTAGTAACGAAAGGGGTAGTGAGAGAAGGAGTATGAGAAGGGAGAGAAGTTTTTTTCCTTTTCCCCTATATCGTCTATAGTGAGACAAGGAGTATGGTGAACGGAGAGAACAAGGGGGATATCCTGAAAAATGCTCTATTGAGAAAATCAAAGATAAAAGTTTTGTCCCTTGTTCAGTTTCTTTAAAAGAGAAGGAGAGTTTTCTCTATGACCAAACATATGTACACAGCAATGAAACCAAACTTCTCCTATAGATAGGGCAATGCTCACTTTTGGTGTAGGTCAAGATTTCTGGAAACCCCCAAAATCTGGGTTAGCCTGCTTGTCCTTAAAAGCGACTGTATATATATGTGAGACAATGTGGTGAAATCAGGCTCTCGTCAATTTTGGGGCATGTAGAGTTATTGGTATCATCATAAAACTTGTTCATTTGTCTTGCTTTGGATGAAAAAAATATTCATTTATCTTGAATAGAAGTCGAGACATTTGAGAATGAAGGAGGTGGGGGTCACCTGGTTTCAGAGTTAAAATTAGGGAGAAAATGGCCCCACAAGGTGAGTTATTTTCCTTTGCTTAAGAGTTCGTGGTAACTGAATATTTACATCTTTTATGCCTTCAATCAACGTTTTTCAGTAAAATCCACACAGAAATTTATTCTTTAATGGGCATGAAAGGTACTGGGCCAAAAAACAAAAATTCGATAAAAATTCACAAACCTGAGGAAAAATGTAAGTTTCTTCACTTTGATTATTTTGACGAGCGCCTGATTTCACCACGCTGCCTCACAATATATATATATATATATATGCTCACCAAGCGTGATACTCCATCCGAGCAGCCAGCGTAGTTGGACCGGCATGACGACGTTGGTGGCGTTGATGTTGACAAAATACACCGTAAGCAGCGGCAGCGAAGCAAAGGTGGGCAGGAACAGTTTGTCACGCCATTTCAGGTCGAGAACGTCGTCAGCAAATCCCAGGAATATCATGCAGCAGATGGAGAGAAGGGCCGCCAGGTAGTGGATGTACTGAGTGAGGCAAAGTTGGGAGAACAATAAGGGTTTACTGGAGTAATGTTTTGGGACGAAGATTAAAATTACGGCTTTGTAGTAAATGTACTGAGGCAAAGTCAGTAGAATGATACGGGTTTACTGAGGCCATAAGTAGTACACCGTACTAGTAAATTAAAATTACAGATTCACTACAAAATTGTTCATCTTAAGACACAGGAGTCAAAAATAACTTTCAGATTGAAAGGGGATTTTTTAGATTAAAAGTTATACATTACACATTAAAAATTCCTCTTAGGAACAACACAGGTTTACTGGGATATTTTGGGACAAAGTCAGTGATATATATATTATTTACAGGTTGAAAGAGACTACTATGAAACAGTCAATTGTATATATCGCAGACTGAAAGTAATGTATTATTACAGATTGAAAGGGAATATTCTGAAACAGTCGGAAATTCACAAAGATATCTAGGAACACAAGTAGTTTTGAGACACAGTAAGAAATGTAATTATTTTACAACTTGAAAGGGAACATTTTGAGACTGTGTAAACTACAAGTGGTCCCTGTCAATTGAAATTACAGATTCACAAAGTTATACATTTTAAGACAGGGTCAGAAATAAATTACAGATTGAGAGAGGAATTTTAAAGACAGAATCAGTCATTCATTACAGATCAAAAATGGATGTGCAGTGACAAAAGTCAGGTACACATTATAGGCCTATTATAAAATAACACTTAAGAGGCCAGCACTGCTCCTTTTGAGTCAGTATACATATGTTCTATGATCGCAAACTATACAAGGACTTGCTGTGTTAACAATAGCAAGAAATAGATTTTTTATGAGTAAGACACCTCTTTTGAATAATATTGGAATTGTCTACAATTCTATTTTTCCAGGTAATAATGCAAGTTGATATAACATTTTTCAAACACATGATAAAGGAAAAATATTTACTTTTATATACTTACTCAATCAACTTTCTGCTTGCTACGTTACAGACTACTGACATTGTTGTCATGAAAAACATTTTTTTGAAATTCTGTATTTGTCTCAGAAGAACATCACAGAACTCACCTCATGGTGTGGGAATTTACCGGGTGTGTTTTCAGCAAGTTGTTTATAAAAAGGAACAGGCATGAACAGGAACATAGTGCAGAGAAAAACTGCTCCACACACTACTCCAAGCGCCTCGGGACTGGAAAAAAACAAAACGACGAACAGATCATTACAAATCAAAATACAGTTGAAACTTTCTAAGATGGCCATCCAATCAATATCGAGGAGAAAAGTGGCCATCTTGGACAGGTGGCCGTCTCTACACAGTAGTATTATATTATAGATTGTAGAAAACACACAAAACAGGAGTCTGGAATTGGCCTTTTGTATGGGAAAGGCGGTGTCAGTCATTGGCCCTCCCCTCACTCTACTACTGAACTGTAGTATTATAGGCCTGGAGCATATGGAGGAGGCAGACGTAAAATAAGACGAAAGGGAATTAATTTACTTTCACTACCGTCTCATGCTCAGTATCGTACAGCCCTTTTCTTGTTCATTTACATCTTGAAGAATATCGACTTGAATTTTGTCCCAAACATAAGAACATAACATTTGATGGTTTTTATTCTACCTATATCACACTTATTAAATCATATATATATTAAGTCTCTCGAAGTCCAACCCCTCGTCCACGCCGTGGGAGATGGAAACAGGACAAAGTAGGGGATAGCTGGGTCTGGGTGAAGTACGGTGTGACTTTATGTCACTGAGGCGTTACGCTAGCCGTGAAGGCCGACCCGGGTCACCCCGAAACGTTGCTGGCCAACGGGGCTCTGGTGAAACTGCGACTGGCTTAGCAGGCCGGCAGTGGATATAAACATTGCTCAAGAAAACATAAGGAGACACAAACGGACTGATCAAAACGGAAAATGACCTGGCGAGAAAAATGGACAACGATCAAGAAAAAATGAAAAAATAGGGACCTGGAACATTTGCAGCTTGACAAATAAAGAACCTGAGATAGTGGAGTTCATGACCCAGAACAAGATCTCCATCATGGGCATTACAGACATCAGGAAAAAAGGGACAGGCACAAAAGAGATCTACTCTAACTTTGTCCTCATTTGGAGTGGGGTAAGAAAAGAACAAAGAGCTGAACACGGTGTGGGCTTCATCATACACCCTGACAAAGCAAAGGAAATATTGAATACGGACTTCATTTCTGAAAGACTCATCAAAATCAGCATTAGAGAGGGCAAAAAGACCACAAACTACATTCAGGTGTATGCACCGTGTAATAGTAATAACTCCTACTCAGACGAAGAAAAGGACTCTTTCTTCGAACAACTCTCGGACTTAATTAGCAACATCCCAGACGAGGAAGACCTTTATGTAATGGGAGACTTCAACGGAAGAGTCGGAGAGAGAAGAACACCGTGGACAAAACACCTGGGTCCACACAGTGACCACAGAACACCATGCAATTATAACGGCAACCATGTACTGGAACTGTGTGCAGAGCACGACTTATTCATCACCAACACCTTCTTCCAGCACAGAGCCTCTCAGATCTACACCTGGTACAGATGGAACAACATCATGGTCTCATCACAGATCGACTTCATATTAACGAGAACACGAATGCGGATCACAATCACAGACTCAAGAGCCATCCCCAATGCAGGCCTGGACACAGACCACAGGCCAATCATCACAACGTTGACCACCAAGAAAGAAAGAAAACCAAAAAAACATAAAAGACATCAAGAGAGACTAAATATGCATAAACTTGGAGATGATCAGGTGCAGGCTCAGATCAGAAGCACGTTAAATGAAAAACTAGGCTCTATCAACTCTACAATACTAACTGTAGAGGAAGCTTGGGATACCTTCAAAACAACTCTCCTGGACACAATGAAAGAAGTCTGTGGTACCAAGAAAACAAGAGGAAAACACAGAAAAGCAACAGCCTGGTGGAACGAAGAAGTTAAAGATGCTATCAAGGAAAAAAAGAGACTGTATAATGTATGGGTCTAGTCAAAAAAACGAAGAGGACTACATTAAATATAGACTTGCAAGAAGACACAGTAAGAAAGTCGTTATAACATCAAAAGAAAAGTCATGGACCCAGTATGGCGAAAAACTAAGTGAAACCTGCAAGACCTCACCAAGAGAGTTCTACAAGATGGTAAAGACAATGAGAACGAGAGACGAATCCTATGTACCCACCACTGTCATCAACGATACTAATGGAGAAGCTCTGCACGAAGAGAAAGAACTAATAAAAAGATGGGAAGAATATTTTCAAGAACTATTAAACCCATCAGGAGTACAGGCACAAAACACACAGTGCCCATTCACCGCCAACTACCCTGAGCACTCAGAACCTACCATCCTGGAGAGTGAAGTGAGAGAAGCACTGAAAACTAGTCCAAAGAACAAGGCAGCTGGAGACGATGGCATCACAACCGAAGCCATCCTTGCATGCGGCGAAACCGGAATACATTGGCTTACAATCATCTTTCAAAAAGCATGGAAAGAAAGGAAAGTGCCAGCAGACTGGCAAAATGCGATAGTGGTGCCAATATGGAAGAAAAAGGGCAGCAAGTAGACTGCAACACCTATAGAGGCATATCTCTTCTCAGCCATGTGGGGAAAATGTATGCAAAAATCCTAGAGCAACGTACTCGCGCAAAAACCGAACATCTTCTCAGTGACGCCCAATTTGGCTTTAGAAAAGGAAAAGGGTGCACAGATGCAATCTTCGCACTCCGACAACTGTGTGAGAGGGCTTTGGAATACGACAAAGATCTCCACCTCGTATTTGTGGATCAAGAAAAAGCCTTTGATCGAGTAAATAGAAACAAGCTATGGACGATCTTAGAGCAGTACGACATCAAGGGACAACTGCTAGACAACATCAGGGCTATCTATGCCAACAGCAGAAGCGCTGTCCGAACTACCAGTGGAACATCGGACTGGTTTCCAGTAACATCCGGAGTGAGACAGGGCTGCAATCACTCCCCTCTGCTCTTCGTGATCTACATGGACCAGATAACAAAAGAGGCCAATCCAGACCCAGAGGCACTCAACGAACTCATGTTTGCAGATGACCTGGCAATGATTAACAACAAGACTCAGCTACATGAGCATATAAACCAACTAAATGCGAGCTGCGAAAAATATGACATGAAGATCAGTATAAGCAAGACCGAAGTCATGACAATTAGCAGGAGACCAGGTAAAGTGGATATCAACATCAATGGATCCCAACTAAAACAAAGCAGAGAATTCAAATACTTGGGCAGCATTTTCACAGAAAATGGAAAATTAGATCCAGAGATAGAGACTAGATGCCAGAGAGCCAACGCAGTCAGCTACCAACTGGGCCCTCTCCTGAAACATCCCAATATCCCCCATGAGCACCAAGGCGAAGCTCATCAACGCCATTTTCCTTCCAACGCTCACATATCAGTGCCACACATGGACTCTAACAAAAGCCCTAGAGAGGAAACTGGTCACATGCGAGATGAAATGCTTAAGAAGAGCGGTCAACAAAACAAGAAGAGACAAAATTAAAAATGAAGTCATAAGGGACACCGTGGGAGCAACACCAGTCCTACCACACATTGAAAAACAAAAGGTCAAGTGGTTCGAACACCTCACGCGGATGACCTCAAACCATCCAGCTCTGAGAGCATACAACATTAAATATTCTGGATGGAGAGCCAGAGGAAGACCAAGGCGACGATGGAGTGAATCTGTGGCAGACACCCTTAAAGATCATGGGATGTCCCTCCTACAGGCCACACGACTTGCTGCAGACAGACACCTGTGTCTCCCCGCGACACCCCAGGGTACAAGCGGAAGAAAAAAGTAAAGTAAAGTATTAAATCATAATTGCATAGTAATTTCACACTTTGGACCTTCCGGGGGGATTCCCACAAAGGGTAAAAAAAAGTCTGGGGCTTACAGGGGGCACGCCCCCCCCCCCCCCCTCCCCCCGTTTTCCCTTTGATGTTTTGCATTAAAGGTTTGATATTTTTCTTGAAAATAATTGATTTTGTGAGTTTTAGTAGAGGCCATATTGTGACCTGCAGCAAAAAAAAAATACTGCAGTTTAACCCCCGAAAAGTAAATCAGTGCATCTGTAAAGAAGACTGTTAACTAGAATCTAGATCTAGAATCTAGATCTAGATCTATATATGGTAGTCTATTGTTGTGTGCCTGAAGTAGGCTGATGAAGGCTGAATGAGTGAATGAAAGTAAAAAGAAGCCTACCGACGAAATGGGCAATACAAGACAGTACAAATGATAACGACATGCCTCCTATACAGTGAAGAATGCTTACACTTTCTCCTTGCTCCCTGGCTTGTTCAAGTCAATGCCAAATAAATTTGCTTTGATGAACATCTCTTTGAACTGAGGAATGACTCGAACGCAAACGTAAAACGCCACAACCGACATCCCAGCATTGATGGCGATAGTCAAAGCACTATCACCAGTCGGCATCTTGAGTGTTTGAAAGAATCACAGCTTAGAATCAGGATCAAAATGTATGATCATAAATCAATTAAATTCTGGAACGCTGAACAGGCTACAGCAGATGTCAGTGTGCAAGGTGTCCCCTTTTATAGCAGACAAACTGAAAGTAGACATCTGTAGCACTTCCCAGTCAACACGTTTCCTATACAAATGACGTCGTGAAGTGTTCACATTGCCTGATTAGAACTCTAATGTTTACTTCACAAACGTTTTGTTAATGATGCTTCACTAATCTTTTCTGACCATTGGGCCAAGAGATGTCTTTCAGGGTACTATTTTTAGTTACTAGATTTATATATAATTGAAGCTGAATCAATGAACAGAGGATTAGATTATATTTCAGATCATCTTAGGGCCTACTGAAGGTTTAACTCATTTTGGCTTGTCAGCTTTCTGTCTCTGGCATACTCAGTCTATAGTACTTCCGGTATAAACACAAACAAATGCTACAAGATGGATACCGCCACAGAAATAACGGTCATTGTAGAGGGGCACCACAGGAGTCAAGCTTTCTTTGTGGAGGATCGATATTGGGATGTGCCACTGCACGAAATTCGGGATATTCTTGCTGCTCATGAGCTTGATCTGCCCCCTCAATACAAGTTCATAACGAACTCAAAAAATCTCATCGCCACACCTGCCGAGCAGTCGGTCACTTTGAAGAAGTTGATGACTGACGCACAACCGTCTGATGAAAGTACAGATTCTCATCAGAAAACTGAAACACGAACCATTCATATTGCTCCTTTACTATCAAAGACAAGAAAATGTGGAAAGGGTACAGATTTCCCTGGCTATACCACCTTCAAATCCGAGGACGGAGCAAGTTTTCAGTTTTGTGAAGAAGCAGATCAGCAAGACCGCGGCAGTGAAACAAGTCAGCCTAACGAAAATGAAGAGAGCCCGCCGTATGGGTCACCTCGTTGTCCAATGCATTCTTTCAGACATGTTTTCATGAACCTGCATGACAAGTTGGATTGGAAGATGCTGATCAAAGTGTTGATGTTCTTCATGTTCCTGCTCACCTGTTTGCTGTTCTTGCTGACTGTGATGGTGCACCTGGTGAGACATGACATATCTATATTATATAGATTTAGATTTAGATCTAGATCTAGATCTAGATCTATAGAACTATAGATATAGATCTAGATTCTATATTTCTATATTCTGGTCATTAAATTGTCTCAGACATCTATATGATAGATAGGTGCCCGTTTTACACAGTAAAATTAGGGAGGACTTCCGTAACGAGCGACCACTATTAAATCTAGATTTTTCTCAATGGCTTCCAAAATCCTGATGGGAGACCGAAAGCCACTGTTATACCATATCTGTTCATGACAAAATTACGGTAGTTTGCGCATTTTTAGGCCCCGTTTAAAGTTTTGTAGGTCTGAGTCGGGGTTTAGTAGACTTGAATCAAGGCGCAGCCATTGTTGATCACGCAGACTTTATCTACTTCCGTTGTTTAGGAGCGCAGAGTTGCCAGGTTTTCTTCGGTTTCTAACCAAACTCTCACCGTGATTAATTCTAGCAAAATACATTGTATTATTATTAAGGAGGAGGAATTCCGCAACGAGCAACCAATATGAAAGGGATGAAAGAGAGTTGTTAGGGTTAGGGTTGGGCTTAGGGATAGGGGTAGAGGTGTGGGTAGGGTCTGGGGTAGGGGTTGGGACAGGGGTATGGGTAGGGGTTGGGCTAGAGGTATGGGTAGGGG